AAAAAAAAAAAACAGGCTTGAAATATTGTCTACAACCGTGCAAGGACAACTGAACTCACCCACTTTCTATTTCTTAAAGTAATTTTTCTTTTTTCTTTTTCTCTAATCATTCATTTTACTCTTTACTCTCTCGGTTATTTTTTTATCCTTTTACTTTATATTAATTCTACTGTTAAAATTTAAAAATATAATTTAAAACTTACTTCTGGCCCTTCCGAATTCAGAATTGTAAGTTGCTCTAGACGATCCATTATAACCTAATGTTCTACAGACGATATCGGCTTCAGTTTTATCCCATTCATCGTCACAAATGGATCCCCAAAGTCCCGCGTGATATATCTCCACGTTACCCTCATTTGCACTATGACCCCCGACTAACCTTAACTTTCCTTCTTTGACTGCCGTCGACCATCTCACAAAGAGGGTCAGTAGACACAGGGTGAATCGCAGCAGCAGCAGGGTCATGTTCCGTCAGTCTACTGTCTATCCCGGAAACGGAAATATATAGGAGAACGAGCTGGAAAACAGATGATACATTGTTTGGCTTTCACTGAGAAAGATGCAATACTTTTCTCGAGGTGTAGGCGGAGTCGCTCTTCGACCAATTAGCTGTTATTTTTTTTGTATAAATGACTAATAACCGGAAATGAAAACGTAAAGAATTCGTCAATCTGTGTCCTGTTTTTCATTTTTTTTTTTTTTTTTTATTCTAAATACACCTGGAAAATCTCCGTCACTTAAAATTGCTAACATTTTCCAGATCGAAAGCTCTTTTTTATTATTATTATTATTTAGTTTCTTGACCTTTAAACGCTTAATTATATATAAAATTATTGAATTTTAACAATAATAAACTTTAAAAAAACACTACACGTATATAAATAATCTATAAGCTCTATTTGTTCGTATTGGTGTTTAAGATTGTTTTGAATTTCTTTGTTTAACAAAGTCAAAAATTGTCAAACCAATCTTTGATACACCTCTTAGATTAATAATTATTGATAGATATTTGAAAACTTGGTAAGCGAGTAGTGTTATTTCACATTGTCTCATACGGATTTCTGATGAGAACCGTATTATCAGATTTATGACGAAAGAGAAAATGGAACCGGATGAAATTAAATGCATAATTAGAATTGAATTTGTTACTGGTAAGTGTGTACGACGGCCATGAAAAGTTGTCGAAACACCCGCAGTTAACAGCTGTCCGAAATGTCAACATGTCTAAGAACTGATTTTTATAGGACAGTATTATTGCTGCGCGTGACATTAGATCTATTTTTAGTATAAAAATATAAGGTCTGTTAAAATATATATATATATATATATATAAACACTTGTTCTTTAATAAAGTGAGTGTAAGATACTGTTCTAAATATGTTGACATTCGATAAGAAGACCAATCATGTTTCCATGTGTATAGACGGGGATGGATTTCTGAAGCAAAGTAGTTGTGATGACATTTAGATGTATTGTTTCAATTCAAAATCAGTGTCCGAAGCGAAATATGGATTGAAATTTTCACTTCAGAGAGTATACGCGTATTGTGATATTAATTTCCTTCTATTCATTCATTCTATTTCACAATTAATTCACAAGTACTACTTATGATTTACTTCAGAATAATATGAATAAAATAGCATAGAAAGATGCAAAAATTGTGAAAAAATATCGATTTTATTCGTGACAATCTGATCAAAGTTCTGATAAAACTAATGAAAATACACTTAGAAGACAAGAGCTGTGCCATAATTATTATTATTTCTATGTTTAGTCTACTTCAATTCTTAATAAAAATTGTAAAGTTGTAAAAACAGTTTATCAAAGTTTTACTAATAATTGAAAACAATGATTCATAAATGATTATTTTTATAGTTAAACAAATACCAATGTGGTGATGAGAAGTTATGATTAATTTTTAATATTACAATGAAAATCTATAATAAAGCTGTAATAGGAAATATAAATATATATGTTTATATAACCTTATGTTAGGGAATGTATCAACGTAACTATTTTTAGAATGTTTCTTTCGTAAATATTTCATTGATTTTTATTCTTAAATAAGAAGTATTTTAATATATAATTGGATGAAGAGAGGCGAAGATAGAATAAATAGGAACAAATCTATTTAAGGAATATAATTTTAGCCAATTTATTGATTGATTTAAATAGTATTTGTTTTGCATGAAGACTCGACGACGTCCTTTGTCTTTATTCCTTCATAAAAGAGTAATTAGATCACTTAGGAAGAAGGAAAGAAAGATAATTCTCTCTTCGGTAATTTCAATTATTATGCCTGTTATTAGGGGCTACGGGTTCGAGTCTGATAGGATCTAATTGGTTATGTGGAAATAACGAATCTCTATCCGGCTATCTCCATTGAGGACCTGGCCAAATCCACATAGGTGATGGATAAAATTTCATCACTCAGACCGTTATGTGACTATGAATAATTGAATTGGAAAGTTTTAAAAGAAACAAATTCTGTTGTCAGATTTCTTGCTTGTTTCATAATTATAAAATAAATATGTAAAGTATATATTGCAGGTTTCTATGGCAATGTTTGTAGTAATGCTCTGTGAAGAGCACTTATAAAAGTTACAGATAGCAAAATGAATGTATAATATTTGTCTTCAATGGGTCAAAGTACTGTGTTTTCCTTTTTTTTTTTTCTTCTTCTTCTTCTTCTTTCGGAGATATTAGAATATCATTGATATAGTTAAATGGAATTATAAGTTACAAACACCAAGGGATCCTGTGTTAGATACTTGGTGTGTCTTGCATATATTTTTAATTATCTACCGTATCGAAATGAAAATAGATAAAAATTCAATGTCAATCTATTTTTAAATTCAATTGATTTTTATTTTAAAATAAAAGTTGAAATAAAGAAAATTTACAATTTGAAAGAAAACTTTATAAAAAGTTTTATTTATTGTTTTTTCAATTGAGAAGAAAAAGTGATTCCGTTTTTTTAAAAAAATTGATATTTAATGTTTTAAAGAATTTAATTTTGTTTAATTAAATTGAATAAGTTTTGAAGGTAAATTTTCGAAATGATTATTATAAACAGATTAGACTTATCTAGTTTGTCCATTAACTACCTTGACCACTTCAACAAAGATAAAAGGTTTGACGTTTGTTGCACTTTGTCACCTGAATGTCTGAACTTGAGTGTTTTCATTAGAATGCTTTCATTCCAAGTTTTATCTCTTCGATTTAATATTTGTATTAATTTCATTTTAAAATATTTATTTTCATTTACATTCCAAGTGAAAAAGTAAATAGAAATATGACACATCTCAATCTTGATTTCATTTTCAATAAATGAATATTTTGGAAAATTACCTTTAAAAGAACTGGTTCAATATCATTAAAACTGGGATATATCAGTCAGAAATTATCAGGGAATTTTTTACAATGGATATGATTTATATTTTATCATTAAATTGATTCTAATTTTAAATTAATTTCTTAACTGACGTGTGACGAAACTCCTTCAGAATTACTAAAAGTTCTGTATAACACTTAGAGATTTAATTATTTCTAAACGTCAATAAATAAATACAGGATGAACCAAAAGTCAGTTAACTAAATTGCTATCATATTCAATACATTTTTATCAATTTCATATAAGAAAAACATCTCTAAACTCAGCTTATTATACATATTCTAGTACAGTACATATCTATATTTTGAACAATTCTGTATATAAAATGAACTTCTATATAAATATAATTTTTTTTTTTTTTATTATAAATGAAAATAAAAGTTGAAAGTAAAAGAAAAATATACATATTGAAGTTCGTTCTGATTAAATTAATAATTATTTGTTTTAATTTTATTTGCAAATTGTCAATTGGTTAAAATCAATGACATCACGACCAATAATTATCAATACTTCGAAGTACATTGTACTTTGAAATGTGACCTAGAATTTTTCCATATCTTTTTTATTCTGGGGTGGAGATTTTTTGATGATGTCATAAGAACAAGAGTCTATCATCCAAAAACGCATATATAGATGAGATTTTCTAATTGCTATTATAAGGAACTCATCATCCAGACGATGAACTTGGAGCTCCTAAATATTAGAGATTTTTTCGTACGTGTTTATGATACATTGAGGATATTAAAGTTACTTTATACAGGTGAGTAATTTTTTTTTTTTAAATCGTTGAATGACATATTCCTAGCAGAACACAATGGTGATGCGGAAGATCAAGAGTGAAGAGATTTGATTTTGATATATTTATATTAAAATATTGTTTTTTTTTGTGTGTATTGATTTATTCTTTATTATAATTAAGAATTTTAAATTATAAAAAAATAACATCTCTATATACTATTATTACTGTAAATACAGTCGACCCCCCCTATAACACTATTGATTTTTCCGTTTTATATGAATTCCATGTTGTACGAGTCACTTAGATTTTACAAATACGTGTGCCGGGCTGTGAATGGCTCACGTATTTGAAAAATCTAAGTGACTCGTACAATATGGAATTCGTATAAAACGGAATTATCAACACAGTATTATAGGGGATCGATTGTATTTGAAAATTCAATGCAATAGAACTTATTTTTCTCATGCAACATCGTTCAAAACATTAAAAAAACACGTTCAATTTGTTATCAGTGATGTCAAAATTTCTAATTTTGATAAAAATCGATTGTAAAATATATTATTCTAGATAAATGCAAAATCATTGTATCTATCTCGACTGTCATGTGACAAAAAAAAAAAAAAAAGTCAATGGGATGAAACATTAATTTGTTAATAAGATTACAATAGATAGAACATCATCTATATCTACGAGTCCTTGGAATAAATTTCAATCCTGTCAATAAATAAGATACAAGGTAAACCAATAGTTCTTTTCTTTTGCATATTCCGTGTACTGTACACTTGGAAGTATGAATCGTAAACTGAAAACAGTTCATTTCAATTTAGATTAACTGACTTTTGGATGATTCTTATACATTAAAACTATTCACTGTGTATTATAAAATGCCAAAGATGCCTGAATAGTGGTCCATTTGGGGGGGGGGTTTCGCCTTTTCTTCATGCCTAAATAGATTGAAACTAAACTATTCTGACTGAAAACTATGCTTTATCTTCTTATGAATATATTTATTTTAAATCTATTCAATAAGAATTCAATTATAATATGAAAATCTATAAATGAATATACTCTTTTATTTTTCAGATTCATATCTTTGACCATAAATTAATTATATAATAAAAAAAAATGCAATCTTGTAACGTTATCAAGCATTTGAATCGCCTGAGACCGGGATGCTTCAATTACTATAAACCATCCAAAGCCGAAGGTTTTGTCAGAATGTCCAATGCAGGTTTTGGTTTTCTTCGTCTATCGAATGTCCGTTTCGTACAGAGTGGAAAAAGAGGATTCGCCATAACCCAAGATTCCATTAATAGAGAATTGGTTTCTCCCGAACATCAAAAGTCTGCTTACAGTTATAGAGTTCAGTTAAAAGATGCTCGAAGAATTGTGGTTAAATTGGGTTCGGCAGTGATAACGAGAGAAGATGGATGCGGATTAGCACTTGGAAGGTTAGCATCAATTGTCGAACAGGTCAGTTGTGAAATTTATTTATGTTCAATGTTGAAAGAAATAGCGAGAAGAGTCAATGATTTAAAATATTTTGTATCCTTTGCAGATATCTCAGTTACAAAATGAAGGAAAAGAAATGTTAATTGTAACTAGTGGAGCTGTTGCTTTTGGAAAACAAAAACTACAAGCAGAAGTTCGAATGTCAATGTCAATGAGAGAAACTCTATCACCAAAAGATTATACTAAACAAGTAATTTAATTTAATTATATAATTCACTATTAAACTGTGATAGAATTTAAAATATTAATTCAAATGTTTATTATTCAGATGAAGGACTTAAGAAAATATGTAGAACCAAGAGCATCAGCTGCAGTCGGACAGAGTGGATTAATGGCACTATACGAAGCTATGTTTTCTCAATATGGAGTTAATATCGCTCAAGTATTAGTAACCAAACCAGATTTCTATAATACGGAAAGTCGTTTTAATTTGAAAAGTACCGTTCTGGAGTTATTAGGACTAAACATCATTCCCATTGTTAATACCAATGATACGGTAGTGCCTCCATCTGTACCAGAGGTACAGAATGAGGTAGATACCCCCTCCTTTTGGATGCAAGTTTCGAAATGATTGTATAATTGGATTATCATTTATAATCCTTATTTTAAGCAGGTAATACGTATTAATGACAACGATACTTTAGGAGCACACGTTGCAACCGAATTGGGTGCAGATCTGTTAATACTGATGACAGACGTAGATGGTATTTATACTCTCCCTCCTGGACAAGATGGTGCAAGATTACTGAGTACGTATTGCCCAAATCTAAATGGGAATGTCACTTTTGGAGAAAAATCAAGCGTGGGATCTGGAGGAATGGAATCGAAGGTGCGTTAATTTAAAAAAAATAAAATAAACTTATTGAATAAAACTTAGAGTAAAACAAATAAATTAAAATAATAGGTGAAGGCTGCGAGTTGGGCATTGGAAAGGGGAGTTTCTGTCATTATATGTAATGGAATGGAAGATCAAGCAATTACAAAAATTCTGGATGGAAAAAGGATTGGAACATTTTTCACTGACCAAAAGCATTCTTCAATTCCAGTAGAAACTTTAGCAGCAAATGGTGAGTATGAATAAAATTCGCAAAATTTATTATTTTGCTATTCACGATTAAATTAATATTTTATTAACATAGCACGAAAAGGCAGTAGAATATTACAGAATTTAACTGCAGATGAAAGAGCAAATGCAATTTTTAACATTGCCGATTTATTACAATCGAAGAAAGAAGAGATCCTCAGTGTTAACAGTAAAGATCTTAAAATAGCTGAAGAAACTGGTAACGTTTCTATTAAAACTTATTCGAAATTTATCTTTTAATAATGTCTCAAAGGAGATTTTACATATTTTAGGTTTAGATAGACCTTTAATGGATCGTCTTTCTTTAAATGTTAACAAATTAAACAGTCTATCGGATGGTCTAAGACAAATTGCTGAAAGATCTCCAAGTATTCTGGGACGTGTCCTGAAAAGGATACGAATGGCAGATGGAATGGATTTAGAGCAGCAGACTGTACCAATTGGTGTCTTATTAGTTATTTTTGAGTCACGACCGGATTGTTTACCACAAGTATGTTTATTTGATAAACGAAAAATTGATAACAAAATTAATAAATATGATAATGATATCTTAGGTGGCATCGTTGGCAATAAGTACTGGAAACGGCTTGCTTTTGAAAGGTGGTAAAGAAGCTAAATATACGAATGAATATTTATATGAATTGGTCAGAGATGCATTAGCTCCACACAGCGCTTCTGATGCAATTGCTTTGGTAAGATGATACTAATATTTTGATATCTTAAACATATAAAAGGCAATAATAAAATAAAATAGCGTAAATCTATGATAATGTTGAGAGTTATGTAAACACGTACTGACTGATACGATATTGAATGGATTTTTTTTGTAGAAGATAAAATACTTTCTTTTGTTCAATACATATAAAATGAGGAATCTATGTTATCTTATCTTTATAAACACAAAAATTGTTGTTACATAATACTTTTCATTAATAAAAAATCTCTATGATTTTGTGTAGGTTAACAATCGTGAAGATGTTGGAGAATTATTACAACTTCAGGAATACATCGATTTGGTCATTCCTAGAGGATCGAGCCAATTAGTACGTTCCATCCAACAGCAAAGTAGAAATATTCCTGTTTTGGGACACAGCGAGGGTGTTTGTCACGTTTACATAGACAAGGATGCTGATTTAGTAACGGCATTAAAAATTGGTATGTTGATTATGATCTTAAACGTTTATAATTTAATGAAATTATATTAAATTTAAATATTTATACAGTTAGAGATTCGAAATGCGATTATCCAGCAGCATGCAATGCTATGGAAACTTTATTAATACATAGAAGTTTAGTTGGGCAGCAATTTTTCGTTGAACTTTGCAACTTGTTGAAAGAAGACGGGGTGAGTTTTATTATATATCTAGATAACAATTCATTTGTAGTATTTATCAGAAAGAATATTAGATAAGCCGCAATATATTCTGGATAAATGATCTCTTGCTTTATCTGAAATTATCAATAAAAAAAAACATTCCAGGTAGTAATTCACGCTGGCCCACGTTTGTCCAAACTATTGACTTTTGGACCAACCCCAGCTAAGTCAATGAAAATCGAATACGGAAATCTGGAATGTGCTATCGAAGTGGTAGATAGTGTTGAACAAGCAGTGGAACACATCAATACTTTCGGTAGTGGCCATACTGATTCTATTGTTACAAATGATGGTAAGTTTGAAAATCAAATTTTAAAACATAATCATTAACATGTATTTTTCTGAAATGAAATTCAATATTTTGTATAGAGAATGCTGCAAGATATTTCCAACGAAGCGTTGATAGTGCGTGTGTTTTTCATAATTGTAGCACAAGATTTTCAGATGGATACAGATTCGGACTTGGTAATAATAATAATAATAATAAAATGCATCAAACAACTTTTATCGTCTGTGATTATTAAATTATATATTAAATAATGAAAGAGTTTAGGCTATATA